GTATTATGATGATGCTTCTTCCTAATAGTATTCATATTATTCTTCTTGTCATACTTACTATTATGTTTATTATTATGCTTCCTCCTCCTCCTCCTCCGTCGTGCCCCTCCCACAAACTCACACCAAATATACCCTCCCTGTCGCACCCCCGCACGTGTCCGCAGGGCGGCTCGAGCAGTTCGCCTGATGATCCTGAAGCTTGAACGTCGCAACAGCCAGAAGGATTAAGCACAGGTCGTTTTCAAAATGGAGCTATTTCCCGAGCGCCGCGCACATTCGTCCTAGAAGCTTGAAACAGCTGCAAGGATGGAGGGTGAGTGGTTTTCAAAATGGAGCTCTCGTCTTCGCGCCTCACACATTCGTCTTAAAAACCTGCACCCGCGCGAAACCATGCTGAAAACTTGCAACAGTTAACAATTACAAGGATGGTGTTAACTATGGGCCACTCGCTTGATATCTCTCTGAGAATAAAGACTAGAGGCTTCAACATATGTAGACGCTGCACGCATTGTTGGCGGCTCCCTTTTCAAAATGGGGCTCTCGCTTGGGACTTCTCCGAAGTCCATGACCAGATGTGCAAGCTTGTGCAAAATGGGGACGCGCTAGAATGATGCCAGGACAACTTCTTCTCAAAACGAGGCTCTTGCCAGCATGGCTGGCCCACTGGTCGTTCAAAGGGGGGCGCTTCTGGCAGTGAAAGGAAAAGCTTGTGGTGATCTGTGGGGAGGGGACTCGAGACGGCAGGGTGTACGGCCGGACAGAAGACTGAAGAACATGCTTCAAGAACATGAGACTCTCCGCCAGCCAAGCTGAAGAACATTCGAGGGCTCCGGATGCACAAAAACATCAAACGAGCACAAAGAGCCCTAGGGTTACACTACCCATCGGTCGGAAGAAGTAGGTAGAAACATGAAGTAGGAAGGCGTTCAAAAAAGACTGGGTTCCGTCCGCCCCCTAAGAAGGACGGAAAAGGTGAAGCCACTCGATCATTGAAGTAGGAAGGCGCTTAAAGTAGATTGGAATATGGGAATCCAGAAATACCTACTTTCAACGACCGATGGGTAGGGCACCCTCCCCGAACCGATCTCGATCGCAAACCGCGGTCCGACCGTATTGCAGCATCGGTTGCTACATCTCGGGCCTACCTCTGGTCCTGCTCCTCCTCGTGGCCCCTCCTCGTCAGCACAGGCAGCACCAGCCTCGCCGTCCTTTTCCCCTCCAACCTCCACCTCCCTCCTCCTCCCTCCTCGACACCAGCGGCATTATCCTCGAACCTCATGCCCAGTCTGCCATCGTCCTCCCCTCCTCATCTTCATCGTCCTCCGCCTCATCCTGGTCCTGGTCCTGCGGCTGTTTTGGCAGAACCCGCCAACAAGCTCTGAAGCCAGCCCACCAGAGGAGTGCAACAGTGGGGAGAGGCTCCTACCTAGCACACAAGATGCGAGGAAAGAGTGGTCCCGTCGGCTGGACACGGCACGGACGCGCGCGTGCGTCATTTTTTCGCAGAAATGCCTCTGCAGACAAACAGCGATGTGCTTCTTGCGTGCGCGAGCACCTGAAGATCGAAAGCTCCAGGCGCTGGGCGCAAACTGGGATCCGCTCTCGAGGTGGTAGTAGAGAGAGAGAGGGAGAGAGAGAGAGAGAGAAAACAAAAAAACAAAAAATGAGAGAGAGAGAGAGAGAGACTACCAACCAGACCAGCCCAACTCAACCCGAACACCCGAAGTTCGGGTTGTGGGGGGGGGGGAACGGGTTCCATGTGTGTGTCTTCGTCGATGCCCCCCGACCCCCCCCCCACACCACCCCTGGAAGCGGAGGGCAGGCTGAGGCCTTCGGGCTGGGCTGGGGTGGCCCGGTGGGCAGCGAGAGGAGGCGTGGCCGGGGGCGGGGCGTGGGGGCGAAGTGCGGCGGGAGCGACCGGGCTTCAAAAAGGTGCACGGGCTGCCTCTCGGAGCGCAACGGGAGGGAACGTCGCCTCGAGGGGTGGGCCCGAGCCCACCCCTCGGGCTGGGCCCTCTGCGGAGCTCCTCGGGCGGGCGGCAGTGGGGGGTGACCCAGAGGTCGGGGGCGCGCAAATGAAGGGACCCTGAGACACACAAATAAGTACACACGAATAAAAGGATGCCCCCTATTTTCCCATATTTTCTGGATTTCTGTCTTCCCCCCCACTTCCCATATTTTCCCTTTTGGGGGGGGGGAATCGACGATTCATTGTGTCTGTGTGTTTCTTTCCCTCTTGAGCAAACATGGATTAGCGATCCATGGCTTTGGCGCGCGGTCGCCAAATCCATGGATCGGGGGAGGCGCCCTCCCCAAAGTGCGGCCGGTGCCGCCTCGCTCGGCGGCGGAAGTCCGCGCTTTCCCCATGGAAGCGGGACCCGTCGCCAGTCCACGCCCCCTTTTAATCCATGCCTGCGATCGCCCGAAGATGGGGGGGGCGAAGAGAAGGGCCCCGACGGGTCCCTCTCGGGCGCGCCAGCGGGTCCCCAAAGGGGGCCACCCCGAGGGCTCCCTTCTGGGGCCCTGGGGCCTCGCCCCCTCTGTGGGTCACCCCCCGGAGCTCCACGTGAAACGGGGCTCCTCTCCGGAGCACGCGCCGCGCGACGCTGTCATCGCCGCCCACGCGCCGGACGTGTCTGGACCCCAGTTGTCCAGAATCCGCCGACCGCGTCGGCGTGTGCGGAGGGGATGTCGACGTCTCCTCTCTTGGCACTCCCACCTCCAGTGCTTTCCACTTCTCCCGCCTCCTGTGGGCACTCGTGAGCCTGCGCTCCAGGCGCGTCAGCCTAGCGGGCATCCAGCAATGTCGTAGTTGAGTCGAAGGGGATCCTTCGGCCCCTTTCCCACCTGGGGAGCCCTCCGGGGGGGCCCCCCACTCTTTCGGCAACTTCGGTCCAGGACGTTCCCAGATAGCCTGGACACGGCCCAAGAACGCGTCACGACGGACCAACATGCCCCCAAGACGGCCGAAGAAACCCTGCAAGAGCACTCCCAAGAGAGCCCCAAGAAGCAAACACATTTGCATTCCAATTGCTTGTTATAGAAAGTTTCGCGTTCTCGCTTGCTCGGGCTTCCGACCGCTGACGACGGCCCAACACACCCACAAGATCAAGATCGCCCCAAGACAACACAAGAAGCCTCCAAAAGAGGTCTGAGACAGCCCAAGAAGGTCCCGAGACGGTCCAAGTCTCTCCAAGAGGGCCCGGGAGCCTCCCAAGAAGCCCCAAGAGACCCTTCAGAGGAAACCCGAACTGACATTTCGGGCCAATCGCGCCTTGTCGCAACTGGAGATACACATGGTTGTAGTCATACATACACGCACGTACACGCGTACCTGCATACATACATACATACATACATACATACATACATACATACATGCATGCATGCATACATACATACATACATACATACGTACATACACACATACATACGTACGTACGTACGTACGTACGTACATACATACATACATACATACATACATACATACATACATACATACATACATGCATGCGTGCGTGCATGCATGCATGCATGCATACATACATACATACATACATACATACATACGTACATAAGTGCATAAGTACATACATGCATACATGCATACATGCATGCATGCATGCATGCATACATGTATACATACATACATACATACATACATACATACATACATACATACATACATATATACATACATACGTACATACATACATACATACGTACAACGTACATACATACATACATACATACATACATACATGCATGCATACATGCATACATACATACAAACATGTATACATGCATGCAGACATACATACGGACAGACAGGCGGACATGCATACATGCATACATGCATACATGCATACATGCATACACATATGCATACATACGTACGTACATGCATACGTACATGCATGCATACATGCATACATGCATACATGCATACGTGTATGCATGCGTGCATGCATGCATACATGCACGCATACATACGAATATACATACATGCATGCATGCAAATGTGCATATATGCATACGTGCATATATGCATACATGCATACATGCATACGTGTATTCCTACATGCATGCATGCATGCATACATGCATACATGTACGCATGCATAAATACATAAATGCATTACATTACGCACATGCATACATGCATGCATACGCGCATGCATATATATATGTGTGTATATACAGAAACACGTACATACATAAATGCATGCATGTGTACATACATGCATGCATGCATACATAAATGCATACATGCATACAGACATACATGCATGCATACATGCATGCATGCCTCCCTGCATGCATGCATGCATGCATACATACATGCATACATGTTTACATATACAAACATGCATGCATGCATACTACATACATGCATGCATGCATGCATTCAAACATGCATACATACATGCATACATACATACATACAGAGCTGCAAACATGCATACATGCACACATGCATACATGCATACATGCGTGTACGTATGCGGCGTGCCAGCGCGGAGCCACACTGGCTATCTGGCCAGGGGCTGGCGGAGACAAAGCTGACTGGCGCATAGCCTTCACGTCCCCCGCGCTCGACGGCCCGGGGAGGCTAAGAGTTCGGACCCTGCGCGGTCGCACAGAACCTGGTGAGACTGGGGTATCGCCCAACCTTGATACTGGGGCTTGATGCCTGCGTTCGCTTGTGCACATTTGTGCACTGGTCACGCACTACCTAGCAAGAAGGGCTGCCAAAGGCAGGTGCGGAACAAACCGACCCAAGAAAGGCTGGAACAGCAGTCGGCGCACAACAATCAAAAAACTATCCCGAATGTACACAGGACGTATCTTCCCGGCTACCCATGCTGTGCGCAACCTTGGAAAGCAGTCTGAGAATTCAGCTTGCCAATTCGTCAAGCGCCTGCTGGCCAGGCGCGCCCGAGGCGAACCTCATGGCAGGAGCAAGCTGGCCAAGAGCCAACTAAAGACAAAGAGGGTGCTCAAGTAGCACCAGTGTTCAAGCAGCCTGTGTCGAGAGTGAACAAAAAACGGCGCCATTGGTCGCAGTCGCCAAGGCGCACAATACTATTCGAGCCCCTCGCAATCACAGGCCTGGTGGCTGCAACATGAGCGGCATTGGCAGTGGCCAAAACTGCGCGGCCCAAGCAAGTCACAAATCTGACAGTGTCCACTGGGGACCAGAATGTTGCATCGCTAGGGCTGAAGATGTTTGCTAATAGCTGCTCCAAAAAAACAAACACCGATGTGCAAAAACTCACGGGGATCCGCGCGGGACCTCTTGGATCCGCGCTCGACCCCCCTCCCTGGCGCGCAGAGCGCGCCATGGGCGGCACCGGAGGCGCCATCAGGGGGGCACCGATCCAAGAACTCCGCACGGAGCTGCCCAAATTTGTCTACGGCAGGTTCGCGTCGTGTCGACCCCGGCGTTGGTTTCTGACACCGCGGGGATCGCTCAACCTTGAACGATCGGCCGTTTCCGAAACGTCCAAATCGTTCCACATCGAACGATTCTGGGTCGCCCGCGGCGTTCGACCTTGAACGCCGCTGGCGGGGTCGCCGCTGGTCGACACGACGCAAACCTACCGTATTCAGCAGATGCTCTCCTCCGATGCGGTCGGGAGCTCTTGCTCATGGGTGCCGCGGCGGCGGCCCCTGCGATACGCCGTGCCCTGCGAGCCGACAGCGCGTCGCTCCGCTCCGCGCCGGCGGGCGGAGCTCGGGGCGCGGACGCTCGAGGGCCGGCGCGCGGCGGGCGTGCCGCCGCCGAGGGCTCCGGCGTGCCGGAGCCCTCGGGCGCGACATGCCGAGCCGGAGTTCCTGGCCTTCGCATGGGAGGCTCGGAAGTCGGCACTGGCACCAAGATCGGCGGCTGCCTTCCCCGAGGATGGGGTGCCTCGGCTCTCGGTGGTCGTGGCACTGCTCGGGCGTCTCGGCTGGCCAGAGCAGGGCCACCACACCAGAATCTGGAACCTTCCCCTGGTGGAGACGCCCCCTCTGTCCTGGTGCTGGTGCCACCTCCTCCTCCTCCTCCTCCTCCTCCTCCTCCTCCTCCTCCTCCTCCTCCTCCTCCTCCCAACTCCAGGCCTCCAGCAGTAGCTGCACGCAAAAAGGAACGGCTCGAGGTCCAGCAGCATCGGCCTCGAGATCCACCTGTTGGCCCACCGCGCACCGGGCGTGGGCACGGCGTGCTTGCGGCGGGCACTGCCCCGCAGCCCCCCCGCGGACTGCCGGGCTCCGCGCGAGAAGGGCTCCGTCGGCGCGGGCCTCTGCGCTCCGCGAGGGGCATTGGGCGCGAGAGGAGGCAGGATCGACCAGCACCGAGTCGGAGAAAATCGGGCCGAGCTGGAATGCGCGTCGGATCGGGCCGTGTCTGAGCATCGTTTCACCCGTCCCTATCCTCCTTCTCCTCCTCCTCCTCCTCCTCCTCCTCCTCCTCCTCCTCCTCCTCCTCCTCCTCCTCCTCCTCCTCCTCCTCCTCCTCCTCCTCCTCCTCCTCCTCCTGTATTCCCCTTCGGGTCTCGAGGGGCGCATCCCCAGCTGGGGTGGTGGGACGGTGGGGCTCGGGACGGAGATGGGGGTTTTAGGACAGTGGTCGGCTGCACGATACGGAGCATCGGGGCAGGGGGTCAGGAGAATGCGGACCCGATCGGCTGCGCCGGGATGCACAGCAGCGTCCCTGCGGGCGACGGGCCGCATCACATCGTCGGAGTGTCGCGATGGAATCGGATCGGGCTGACCGAAATCGACCTCGAATCAGGTCGATCTGATCGAAATCGGCCTGGAAGCGTGGTAGTTCTCGGAAACGGCAGGGGCGTTACGTTTCACGAGTTCTAAAACTCTTCAGATAGAGAATGAACGCGGTAAACAAAGATATCCTAAGGAAAGGCCCAACCATACTCCATTGTGAATTTCGCGTTGTGTGTGCCGACCGCTTTCGGCGGAGCCCTTTGGGGCCACGAACCGCGTGAGGGGTGTGCCGAAACGGGCGCGGTGGGGCCACTCCCTATGAGGGCACAAACCGTGCGGGGGGGTGCCGAGACGGGTGAGGTGGTTCCACGCGGGCGCTGCCACTGGGGCGATAGGTTCAAGTCGGGCATGTCCCTCTACAGAAGGAATAGTCAAAAACAGACACACAAAAAAAGTGACGACTTGTTTTGAATGCTTGTTACGTTTCGTCCAAAATCCGCCTGGAGCGGGGTGTACCCGACCTAACCTTAGGTGGAGCTCCCTATGGGGCCACGAAAACATGTGACGGGTGTGCCGAGACGGGTGCAGTGGTGCAACGCGAGCGCAGCCACTGGGGCCCTCGGTGACACCCTGGGGCCAGGAAACGTGTGAGGAGTGCGCCAAAACGGGTGCGGTGGTGCCATACGAGCGCAGCCACTGTGGCCTTCGGAAAAGGTCCCTCTGAGGAAAAGAAACGTGTGAGGGCTGTGCCAGAATGGGCGCGATGGTGCCATGCGAGCTCAGCCACTGGGGCCCTCGGTGGAGCTCACTATGGGGCCACGAAGCATGGGAGGGGTGTGCCGAAACGGGCGCGGTGGTGCCATGCGAGCGCAGCCACTGGGGCCTTCGGTGGAGCTCCCGATGGGGCCGTGAAACGTGTGAGGGGTGCGCCGAGATAGTTGACTGGTGCGGAGGGCAGAGGCCATAACGGGAGGAGGGAGGAGGGGGAAGACGAGGAGAAGAACGCGGGGCGATGTCTATTCAAAACGAGGACCTATAACCACAGGATGGTTGGGAACTGTTCGCCGAGACGCCTCCGGGATTGAAACCGGGTGAGGGGTGTGCCGAAACGGGTGTGGTGGCGCCATGCGGGCGCTGCCACTGGGACCGTTGGTGGAGCTCCCTATGGGGCCACGCAACGTGTGAGGGGTGTGCCGTTACGGGTGCGGTGGTGCCATGCGGACGCGGCCACTGGGGACTTTGGTGAGGCTCCCTATGGGGTCACGATTCGTGTGAGGGGTGTGCCGAAACGGGTGAGGTGGTGCCATGCGGGCGCTGCTGCAACTGAGGTTTTCGGTGGAGCTCCCTATGGGTCCACGAAACGTGTGAGGGGTCTGCCAAAACGGGAGCGGCAGTGCCATGCGGGCGCTGCCACTGGGGCCTTCAGTGGAGCTCCCTGCGGGGCCACGAAACGCGCATGGGGTGTGCTGACACGGGCGCGGTGGTGCTTTGCGGGCGCTACTGCTGGTGCCTTCAGTGAAGCTCCCTACGGGGCCACGAAACATGCATGGGGTATGCGGTGGTGCCATGCGGGCGCTGCCACTGGGGCCTTCGGTGGAGCTCCCTATGGAGCCACGAAACGTGCATGGGGTGTGCTGCGGGCGCGGTGGTGCCATGCGGGCGCTACCGCTGGTGCCTTCGGTGGAGCTCTGTATGTGGCCGCGCAACGTGTGAGGGGTGTGCCGAAACAGGGACATGCGGAGGGCACAGGCGATGTGGCAGGAGGGGGGGACGACGGAGACGGGGTGAGGTGAGGAACGTGGGGCGCTCTCTCTCCAAAACGAAGACCCCAGACCACAGGATGATCGGAAAAAAACAAAACTGCGTTGGCGAAAGAACAAACCACATGCAATTGTGAATACCGCGTTGTGGGTACAGACGGCTTTCGATGGAGCACTTTGGGGGGCCACGAAACGTATGGGGGATGTGCCGAAAAGGGTGCGGTGGCGCCATGTGGGCGCTGTCACTGCGGACTTCGGTGGCGCTCCCTGCGGGGCCACGGAACGTGCGAGCGGCGTACCGAAACGGGTGCGGTGGTGCCATGCGGACGCTGCCACTGCGGACTTCGGTTGAGCTCCCCATGGGGCCACGAAACGTGTGAGGGGTGTGCCGTTACGGGTGCGGTGGTGCCATGCGGACGCTGCCACTGGGGACTTTGGTGGGGCTCCCTATGGGGTCACGATTCGTGTGAGGGGTCTGCCAAAACGGGTGCGGTGGTGCCATGCGGGCGTTGCCACTGTGGCTTTCCGTGGAGCCTCGTAGTTATGGAGCCACGAAACGTGCATGGGGTGTGCTGACACGGGCGCGGTGGTGCTTTGCGGGCGCTACTGCTGGTGCCTTCAGTGAAGCTCCCTATGTGGCCACGAAACGTGAGGGGAGTGCCGAAACAGAGACATGCGGAGGGCATAAGCGGTGTGGCAGGAGGGAGGAGGGAGGAGGGGGATGAGGTGAGGTGAGGAACGCGGGGCGCAGTCTTTTCAGAACGAGGACCCCACACCACAGGATGGTCGAGAACAAACAAACCAAAAAACGGAAAACCAATTCCCAAGTCGTTTCCGAGAAGCACTAAGCCCTGAGGGGGCCTGTACCCTAAGTCAGGCCGTGCTGGTTATATGGTCTTGACTCCGCGTCTCTTCTACCAGGAGGAAGGGGGATGCGGAGAAAGGAAGACAGCACCACAGGGTGCAGCAGAACACAAGTCAGCACTGTGGGCAGAGCTCGGCCTTGCAGAGCTCGGCCCTGAATTACACCCCCCTTCTGCAGGGGCAGGGGGGTGAAGGCGGCTCTCGACAGCGAACTACCTTCGACTCTTGTCACGACCTGCTGCAAAGCCCCTGCTGGTTCGTGACGTCTTGGCCTTGCCATGAGCTGCTCCCCGACCCAGCACGAATGCATAAGAAAATACTGGCCTGTGCACAGGTGACTCCAAACCTTTTGGAAAACAAACACGACGCTTGCGAGCAGCAGCTCGCTCACCACTGGCCGAAAAAAATCTCGAAGTATCGGCTTGTTAAAACAGGGCTAAGATCGGGATAAATCGCTCCAGAACGTTCCGGAGCGCTCTCAGAGCGTTCCGGAACGCTCTGGAGCGGCCGCTGCGCCCAATACATCCTCCAAACCCGCCGATTCTCAGAAATTTCGATTTATCCCGATCCGATTTTGTTCCGATCTTCGCGTCGTTTTACTTGTTCCTCCTGCCTGCTTGTCCTCCCCGGCCCTCCGAGTTCCCGGCCCCTGCCCTGGGGCTGGAGCTCCTTCCCTGGGGCCACTCTTCGTGGACGGCCCTGCAAAACAGCAGAGCGAGGAGCCTTGGCACTCCTCGACACGCTGGCTGACACTGCGCTGGAAGCGTTTTGCGCCGATCGAGCTGCAACCGGGGGATCCCTCCGAGTCTCTTGGGAGGCTTCTGTGGGCGATCGACGCTAGCCCCCTCTCCCGAAGGCAAGCGACCCCACTCTCGACCCTCAAATGCGACGGACATGCAGGAGGGCGCACGCGAGCGCACAGTATCACTGCACCTACCTTGCAGACGTGCTGCAGCTGAGTTGTTGCTCGTTCTGCCAATGGAAAACCCCGAGACGGCAAGCGAAACACGAAGTGAATTTCACGCAGATTTTGCGGTAGTCGTCATTCCTGGCCCCCAAAAAACCATGTTATGGGAGTTCTCTTCGAGGGCCTCCCAGGCGGCCCCAGGGGAGAAATTACCCCAGTGCGACCCTACCTAGAAGTTGGAGCCCCTAGGAAAGCAGTATTAGTTGCTCTGCTATGCTATGCTATGTTATGCCATGCTATGTTGCGCTATGCGATGCTATGCTATGCTATGCTATGATATGCTGCGCTATGCTATGATATGTTATGATATGCTAAGCTATTATATGTCATGCTGCGCTTTGCTACGCTAAGCTATGATATGCTATGCTATGCTAAGCTGCGCTATGCTATGCTATGCTATGCTATGATATGCTATGCTGCGCTGTGCTATGCTGTGCTATGCTGTGCTGTGCTGTGCTGCGCTGTGCTATGCTATGCTATGCTATGATATGCTGCGCTATGCTATGCTATGCTGGGCGATGCTATGCTGCGCTATGCTATGCTATGCTGTGCTCTGCTATGCTAAAGCTCAGCGAAGTTAAGATGAAGGTAAGCTAAGCTAAGATAAACCTGAGCTAAGATGAAGCTCAGCTAAGCTAAGATGAAATAAGCTAAGCTAAGATGAGATAAGCAACGCTAAGCTAAGGGGACGTAACTGGGGGAACCGCGGGGCGGATACTGGGGGAACCGCCCGGGCCGGTTCCCACTGCCCGGCCCTTTAAGCCAAGAGAGTAAGAACCCTTCTAGGCAGAGCCTAGGTAGGGAATCATTGAAGAACTCACGCCTGTTTCAATACATCCCCGCTCGCTGCGCAGAAGAGCAGTCGTCTCGGGGCGGACGCGCGGCGCGCGCGCGGCGGGCCGTAGGGAGAGACGGGCCGCCGCGATCGCACCGTGCGGCGCACTCAGGTGGCCGTGTCCAACACGGGCCCCTGGACGACCATCAGGAGGTCGTAGCAGCGCCGCAGGCCAGCCTTTGAAGAAGGAGGGAGGTAGAGGGTGGGGGCCGAGAAGCTGCAGACGACTGCGTAGCGGGCGCGAATGGGGATAGAGAGGTGCATCCCCGCTCGCTGCGCAGAAGAGCAGTCGTCTCGGGGCGGACGCGCGGCGCGCGCGCGGCGGGCCGTAGGGAGAGACGGGCCGCCGCGATCGCACCGTGCGGCGCACTCAGGTGGCCGTGTCCAACACGGGCCCCTGGACGACCATCAGGAGGTCGTAGCAGCCATACCCATGCTCAAAGCCCTTGCGAAGTGACAAGAGTTCGGCGGGCGGCTGCGAGCTGAATGGGCCACCCGGCAAGGCCAGCATTCAGGAAGGACGCGACAAGGTAGTCGCTAACAGACGCAAAGTACTCGACCAGAGACCGAGAGGCCTCAGGGAGGGCGGCAAGGACAGTAGAAGCGGCAGCGTCTTGCAGATATCCCTCGGCGGTGGACGCCTGGCGCCAGCGGCCCCGCCAGAAGACGCGTGGCAAATGCTCCGTAGCGGCATTGAAGTCTGTGGCGCCTGTGCCTTGAAGGCCAACGGGTGTGATGTCGAACCCCGCAGGCATCTTGGCGAGCGGCACGCCCAAGCCGACAAGTAGATGGTTCCACCGAGTACGGAAGCCGCTCTGACCAGAGGTCGTGGTCATGAGCGGATCGGTGGGGCCCACATGCCGAAACACAATATCCATAATTTTGACGGTCGCTCGATCCGAACAACGAGCGTATTGAATCGGATAAGACCGACAACTCTCAGGAACTGCAATCGACAAGAAGGCGTCGCCTTCCGGCTCAAGGCGGTCGCATGGCAGCGACAAGTCACAACGCTTCGCGTGGAGAATCTCGCCTGGACGCAGGGACATCGTGAAACCAGCCAGCACCAGGGCAGCCATCTCGGGCCACTCCCACAGCAGGCACAAGCTAACCATCGCGCGAAGGAGCGCTCGGGGAAGCGGCGGGCGGAGCCCGGGGAAGCTGCGGGCATGCCCGAAGAAGCGCGCTGGAGGCTCGGAATGCTTCCACAATTTAGCAACATCCCAGGCCTCAGTCAGCAAACCCCTACAGTGAGGGTGATTGGCCTGCACGCCCAGCACGGCGTGAACAAGGATGTACTGCGGGAGCCCCGCGTCGTGGAGCCAAACTCCGAACGTGGCCAAGAATCTGCCTGCTAAGATCCCGCTGCGGTAGAGCGTGTCAGGGACAATGCCCGTGTGCTCACCTAGCCACAGCTCGAATGCATCGAGCGAGCGTGTACGCCTGCTCTCATCAGCGGGGGTGAAACGAGAGCCCTGGGCGAACGAGATTCGCGCGAGAGGAGGCGCGGGGCTAAGGCCGCGACCGGAGTCAGCGGCAGCGGTCGAGCCAGAAGGCGTCGGCGCGGCTGGGGACAGCTCGGCCCCTGGGCCGTCTAGCGCCATAAGCCGCGGGCGCTGCCGCTCGCCCTGATGTGCGGCGTCAGCCGAAGACAGGACGGCGCCTGACCGCGGAGCGCTCGGAGGCGCAGCACCTGCTGCACGGCGGCGGCGGCGCGCGGGGTGGGGGACTCGCCGATGCCAGGTAATGGCGGCACGGCCACCGCCCTGCGGCGCCGTGTCAGCCTCGCTGTGCGGGACCGTACCTATCCTCGCCTCAGCCTCGGCGGCGCTGTCCACCTCCGCGGGGGCAGCCGGCACTGCCGCAGGCGCAAAAAGGTCCGCCGCCGCCGCGGGGGGCCCGGCGGACGCGGCCTCTCTGACGCAATTGGCAAGACGTGAGCGGGCGCTGCACAATGCAGCCTTACGGCGCTCGAGCTCGGCGAGGAGCGTCAGGATACGCTCTGCCAGCTCTCCCGCGCTCTCCCCAGTCTCCGCACCTCTCTCCAGCTCGACCTCGGTCAGAGCGGCATCGACAGCGTCGACCGCGGTTCGGAGCCGCGCCAAAGCACGCCGTTCGGCACGCGCGCGCCTGACCGCGGCCGCTGGGACAGCGACCTGGCTGGTGCGCATCGCAGCCGAGGTGGCCCACGCCCCGACTTGGGGCGGACCTTGGGCCGCGCGCGCAGAGGGCTCCAAGGACTCGGAAAAGTGTGGCGCAGCCGCCAGCGCCTCAGAGACCATGTCATGGGCAGCTTCCCTGGAGTCGGGGGAATCCGCGTTGCCAACGAGCGGGCCTCCCACCATAGGCGCGGCGCTAAGCGCGGCCGCGAGTTCCAGAGACCTCGGAGCGGCCCTGGCACGAGGGGCGGCCGGCGGCGCGGCGTATGAGGCGGCGGCGGGCGGCGAGGCATCATGCACGCGCGCACGGGCGCTCGACTGCGAACGATGCACGGAAGCAGGCGTGGGCACATCGTCGGCGCGCGGTGCTGGTGGCGCACCTGCGGCGCGAGCCGGAGGGCCCATGCTGGTCCTAGCGCCCCGCGCCGAGAGAACGCCAGGCGCAGCGCTAGGCGCGGCCGCGCGTTCCGGAGACCCGAGGCCGCCGCCGCAACACGCCGCCGACAAGGCCGTCCGGGCGCTGGCGGGAGTCGCGCCAGACACGGCGCTGACGGCCTCGGTCGCCTGTGGCGGCCGCGGCGCGCTGTCCACGAGACCGCGCGTCGAGGCTGGGGATTTCCCAGGTTGCGCCCCCGCCACGGATCCGCCGTGGACGCGCAATTCGCGGAAGGGCCCGAGCAGCTGGGACCGGGCGTCGCAAAACTGCTGCCAACGAGCCGCGGAAGCATGGCAGCCTCGCGACTTGGCCGGGTGGTGGGGGGTCGCTAACCGCCGCCACGCCCGGTGCACCCCGGAGTCTGGAGTGCTCAACTGCACGCCGAGGAGCGCGCAAGCGGCCATCAACTTGGCAGCATCAGCTGGCCGTAACTGGCGCTCGCTGCCGAACGCGGCGGCCGCGCCCCCCGCCGACTGCGAATGCGAGCCGCCGACAGGGGGTAAGCGCGCGGGCGCAGACGCGGCGGCCACTGCACGGCCCTCATGGGAGCCGCCCGCGCGCGCTCCCTCCTCAGCAGCAGAAGAAGAAGGACCGCGAGCGCGACCTCGCGAGCGTTCCGGGCGCTGCGAGCGGGACCTCGCCTCGGGCGCGCCTGCTCCTGGCTCCCCACCGACGGCACGAGCCCCTCCCTGCGGGGCCGCAGCAGCATCGCTGGCAGGGCGCATGCCTGCCGGCGGGGGCGGGAACGAGCTAACATCCCAGGGGGGCGCCGAAGCGGTGGGCACCGCGGGCGCTGCGCTGGCTGCAGAATTCACGACATGATCGTGCCGTGGACTACGCA